GGGGCCGGCACCTTGTGCGGCGGGCGGGGGCTCCGAGAGGTCCGGCCGGTCCGTCCGGCCCTGCCCCGGACAGCGGCGGCGGCGGCAGCGCCGGGGTGAGTCACTGCTCGGAAATGGAGTGGGCGGGCGTGCGCGTAGCAGAATGAATGATGTCAGGGAGCACCGCGGCGAGCATGAGGCTCGCGGCAAACACGGCGGCGGCCGCAGCCCCGAACGAGCGCTGCCCCCGGCGCCCCCCGGSCCGGAGCCGCCCTCCAGCGGAGCAGCGCTTCCAGCTGCGGCACTGCTGAGGCAGGGAAGCTCTGCGAGAAGTGTCGCCACCGCCGACGCCCTTAAAGTCGGTCCSTTTCGCCAGGAAGGAGAAGAGGCTGAGGCTGGGAGAGGAGCAAACCGCAGGGAAAGGTAGAGATTGTGGCAAACTTTCTAGCTGCTTCTGCGTACTGCTGCCTCACTGGTGGGAGTGTCTGCCCATAAGGAACTGCAAAGCCCAAACCTAAGAGCCCTGAGGCTCCAAAAAAGACTTCAGCCGCCTTTGGAGGAGGAACTGCCAGCAGTGCCAGCTTTTGCATACACAGCAGAGTAGGTAAGTTGGGAACGGCACAGGTGGATTAAAAGCGTGGCGTACCACAGGTACCCACTTGGAGAGCCGCTTTCACGGAAGACATACACGTGTCAACTGGATAGAGACTRGGAAGAGCAATCCCACGTCTGCGATCTCTTCCGTTTCTACAGTTTGAGGCCCCTCTAACTGGGGAGGGTACCTGTTTTGATTTTTCTTGCTAATATGTGATTTACGGAACATGCCTAGTTTTTGAGTAAAATTGTATGGTTTTGGTGTGGGCAATGTATATATATATACCCCTAAGACAGCACCACGTACCTAGCTGCTCAGGAGGGAACTTCCAAATGTGTGATTTCAGYTCAGGAAGAGAATGTGTTATAAGGATCATAAGGGTGCTGTAAATGTATTTTCCTATAGGTTTTTTTTTCCTCGTTGCATGTCTGCTCTATTGAACACTCAAACTTCCTGAARTGCTGCTGAACTAAACTTACTGTGACTTGGTGTCAGAGTGCATTTCTAGCAGAGTGCATTTCTCTTAATATTGCATGGTTTCTGGCATATGTTTAGGTTAAAAACCCTGTGAAAAGTAGTTAATACATATTCTTCTCTCAAGGTGATAAAACTAGTATATAATGTAGAACACCTATTTTTCAGTTTAATCCATTTCTAAACATTTTATTTAATTTGAAGACCTTAGAAAATCAAACATCTATCCTTAAACCACTTGACAGCTATTAATTTRTGCACAGTTAATTATACAAGTGAATGCTTCCATAGAAGTATTAGCATAAACTGAGCAGATGCATGGTACTTCATCTGAGACAGCAGGCCTTACAGTTTTGGCAAGCTTCACTTTAAACCACATTTATTAAATGGTTTGTCCAAAATCAATTTGATTTTTTTTTCATTTTATCTGATGTAGTTGCTTAGATGTGTTATTATTTGACAAGGCAGGTTTTTTGAGACTCTGTAGCCTTAAATAGTTTCTGTCTCTGAAGCCAGTAACTTTTAATCTGTATTTTGCTCTAACTAATCTAGAGCTTAATTTACTAGAAAGGTCAATTTTGCTTCCACATTTATTTTCTTTTAGGTTGTTAGTCCAGCCTCATGTTAGTTCAGACATGAATTACCACATCTTACTGAAAAACATATTTGTGTCTGTCCTTCAGAAAAATATTCAAGTGTACCCTATCTAGTGTGCCAGTCTTAGAGGATATTAGACAAATCAGGTGGTGATGGGGAGAAACTAGGTGAAAATCTACGGGGACRACAATAGTAAGATGATAAAGTATGATGAGGTAGATTTCTGTTCTGTCCTTGAAGTGAACTTAGACAATGGAGAAATGACAACTCGAAGAGAGCAAAGAATTTTTTTTTTTTTTAAATCATGGGTTGGTAATCTGAATTCAGAATGCCTCTGCCCTTAATTTTAAATATTGAGCCGTGGTTGGCATGTAGATAAGCATCTACTTTTCTGCATTGTAAAAGTGTCTTGTGATTATGATATTTTAGGACAGAAATTAATTCAGAACTTAATGTTTTAAATAGGCATAAGAAGTATTATATCAGGGACGCACTATTGTGGAAAACTAAAGATTTCCTTACCAATGCAAAAAACCCAGCCCATACAAATACCTCTCTGTCTCTGGGAGAGATGAATAAGAGACTTAATCTCAAATAATTTTAATTCTAAAAGCTGGAGTTCTTTATTTACAGTGCACAAGTATAGCATATTAAAGGTATGTAAACTGAAAAGTAATGTATTGGTTTTTAAGGATTAACAAAATAAATATTGAAACAACTGATGGATTTAAAAAATAAGTAACCTATTTTAAGGAACAGAAAATGTAAAAGAAAGTTTTTGAAGAAATGGCTCATTACACTTAAGTCTCTTGGAATAGAAGTGGACTTTAAAGATACAGTTATTTGTAGTAAAATTGCATACATCATCTGCTTGGATTTTTTTTCTAATTTTGGTGGGCTGTTGGCCTACAGTGTTATTTGATACTGTTTGTAGGGTGTGGACAATGCAGATGCTGTGACAAATTATTTAGTATGGCTATGGTATTGCAGTAGTCCAGACAGATGCTGGGAAGATTAATGTAACACTAGGTCCACTGTCTTCAGAGAAATCTCTCTGCTGGGAGAATTGTTTGTACCATGGACACCACTGTCCCCAAAGATGCTGTGCACAGTAAGAATGTCGGGCATCCAGGCACCACTGTCCCAGCAGATTCTGAAGACCTTAAGAGCTGCTAATGGGAAAGTTTTATGTAACACAGATAGCTCTGTCTTATCTTTGAACAGAAAGTCTATTCTGAACATTTCTTAACTGTACTAAAACCTGACTCTTCTACTGAGGCTCCAGAACGTTAATAACCACAAATGTCTCCTGTGTGATAATGCTTACTGTTTCTCTTCCCCACAATAGATGTTGTGGTGATATGGGCAATACGAAGGATGAAGTCCTTTTACCAATATAAATGGTTTTGAAAGTCTGTAGCTGTTGRAAAGAATTTTAATAGGACCAAAATATATAGTAAAACTGAATCGGCTTTAAGGAAACTTGGTACTTTTACTCCAGCTAACATACCTGCAATATCTGTAAAATAAGGAGACTACTGTGCCTTGAGGTTAAATTTGTGGTTGCTGAGTAAAACTTCCTGCTTCACTGGGTGTCAAGTAGGTCCTCTTGTTTTCAATCTGATGGCATTAAAAAATGTTGAGGTCTAGTGTGCTGTACAGATGAAGAAACAGTTTGTCAGAGTATTTGAGGCTGTTGAGGTGATAATTGCAAATAGAATAGTTCTTGATGAAACAGTGTTTTGGTCTAGATCCTCAGAGAAAATAGTAAGCATGATTAATCAGGAAACTTCACTGCATTCATTCTGACAAGAGAATTTTGAAGCAAAAAAAGCATTGATTTTTTTTTTTAATTTATTTTTTTTTAGAAAAATAGTTTCTCTAGTGTGTAACTCTAGAAGGGGAGAATGTCCTGTTCATTTGAAGATACCTGAACAAAAAAATCAGGTTTCTGGTTGTCACTTAGTCTCMCCAGTTGATGTATGATAACTTACAACTCTATGTATACATTCAAGGAYGTCACACTTATTCTATAAAGTTTGTGTACAAAAATGAAGTTTCAGATATTAGTGGATCTGTGACAGTTCCAAAGTCTGAGCTTTGTGGTCACACATTGCAATGTCATCCTGTTCCTGGCTTTTCTCCTGGCTTTTAGAATTCATCTCTTTTTCCTCTATTCTGTAGTCTTCTTTTGTAGTTTGCTTTTCTTCATATTTAGACATTTCCTTAGGCTGAATCTCACTAGGAGCCTGTGCTGTGCAGCARGTAAACTTCGCAGTAAACTTTGCATTGTTGTTGTGTCTGTGGTTACTGATGCAAATTAGGATTAGGGTTGTACACCTCTTCTTCCTTGGGGAAATGCTGAGCTTCTTGGGGACATCACTGAATGTTTTGAAAAGTTGCATCAGCTTAATTTGGGTGATTTAAGCTGAGTTGGTGCAGAGCACTTTAYTTAAGCATGGTTAAATTTAAAAGAAGTTCCCTCTGGCTTGTTTTTGATTTAGCAGTAATTTGAAATCTTAAATGGAATTGAATTCAGTTTTTCAGATAATATGTAAGGTCGTCATAGTTGAAACTGGGAAAAAAGTTTGAAGTACAACAATGATTAACTCTATCTTCAATTATAGTGAGGTCATTTGATGGTGGAAGAGGTGGATATCACAAAAGAAATCAATGAAAGTAAGCAAAAAAACTCAGGAAGTTAAATATATTTAAGGTTTTTTTCTAATCCACCATCTGAGAATTTACAACTGCCTACGGTAGTTTATGATCACTGATTTTCAAAAATTCCCAGGCAATTGCTAATGTTCTTAGTAAAATGTATTTCAGAGGCAAGTTTACCTGTTACTTGTCAAAAGCCAGTATGACCCATGTACAGTTCTGTAACTTCCATGCATTTGGGAAAGAWGATCTTTTTGCTTAGAGTACCTGTTGGCATCTTAGGCCTGTGTCAGTTTTGCTGCTACTGTGAACTTAAATATTCCAAGAGTGAAGTTTTAAGTACTAATATGGGCAAAACTCATAAATAAAACTACCGAATATTACATTTATTCAGTTTCTGTCTTTGCAGAATACAAGTTCTGATAGCAAAGTGTCGCTATGAGCTATCAAAACTTACGGAAGTTTGCATTTGTAGTGTCTAAGAGAAGGATGGCTTTTTTGTTTCACTTGGTCATACATCTGTGATGTTCATGCCTCTAATACTAGAACATAGATTTGGTTGGAGTTTGTTGGTTGTTTTTTGGTTTTTTTTTTTTTTTTTTAATCTCAGCTAGCTATAAGTGGGAGTCTTTAATCCTATCAGAGTGCAGAAATCTGTCCAGCCTCAAAGAACAGTCCTGTGGCAGAGCTGGTATAGAACCTGGATCTTGTAAGACTTAGCTTAAAGTCCTAAGCAAAAGGTAATGGTTTTTATTTCTTGAAGTATTACTGCAAGTATTTTGGCATATGTTACTACTTCGTAAAATCTTTAATAGGATACTTGCATCTGTAAAAGTCCTTTATTTAGAAGTCATCTGCTCTCACTATTTGTTCTTTTTATATTGAAGTATGTTTGCATTTCTTAATTTTTCTCTTTTCAGAGTGTGTATTCTGCTTAACCTCCTAAGGTCTGTTGTGTGGTGAGAGCTARATGGCTTCTCACAGTTTGTTTCAGTCATGTGAAATGTACATAACAGTGACAAAATATTTACTTACGCACACACCCAAGTTCCTGCTTATGTTCACTCTAGTGCTGCACAGTTGGTTAGTGGAGCAGAGCTAAAAAAGGAGACCGTCTCCAGACTCTTTTTCCCAGTTTCAGTTATGTTATGCTTATGTCCTATCTAAGAAACTGAATTCAACTCTATATGCTCCATTTAAAATTCCAGACTACTGCTAAATCAGAAATAATGAGACAGTCTCCTTATTTAGGTGACATAATTTGCTGAGGAGAAGCA